AGCAAGGATGGAAATCGAGTCGAAGGTTAAATGAGTGTTGTAACTTCATGACTTAAATATCTGACTTCAATATCTGACTCCAATATTTGATTCACTTACATATCTGACTGCAATAATTACTTATCTTAAACAACCTTTTAGTTAGGGTATTAAAAGTACAAAATCCCAGTGTTCAATCATAAATTTAATCTAAAAAGCTTTGTTCTAAGCTTTTGACTAGAAAGTGACTTTACTACATCAGAGGCTTTTATATAGCCTATTGATGTTCCAAGCTTAGGCCTTTCCTATTTATTTGTCAGAGGTTGAATGTGTCTAACGTACTAAAACTTCAGCTAAAAACTATTTTTAGTAACTATACAAATCATGCACTATTAATGCACCATACTTACCTTTAAAAGGACTACTGAGTATTTAGGGATAAAATAATAACAGAATTTACAGAGTCAATGGACGCCGGCAAAGGATGTAGATGGTATTGCATCAGAGAGAGAGATCAGATCCGAAATTCTCTCAAGACTAAATGGAACCATCTCCCCCAAGATCTTACTCCTCTCTAAGATCCTTTCTAACATATACCCCATGCACTTCTTTAAAGTTTTGAAATGTATTTACACCTCAGTGTATTTTTTGTATGTTAGTAAAGAAAGCAATATATTATGTAACAGTCCCCTTTTCAGGCAAAAAACATAATGGAGGATGCTGGATTTGCATACAGAAAAAAAGAAGCAAGTGTGAGCGTAAGAGTCTCCAGAAGAACTGTGGTAGATTCTCCAAGATGCTCAGTAAAACTTACCAGCTAATTTCCTTTCCAATTTCCTGAGACGACTGTGTCAATCCTTTGCTTTATAAAAAAGATTTTTGATTAATAAAAGCATATTAACTGTTTTGTTTATTAAACGGAGATTGTGAATTGTTTAATTTTAGGTCATTTATCCATCCCCAAAACTATTCTTTGATCCCATGATTGTTTTTTTTTTTTAGTTTTTTTTTTTATACACTGCCCTCCAAAAGTTTGGAAACGCCTGAACAAAATAGGGTTTTTGGGCAATATCAGCATAAATCCTCTTTAGTTAGTGACCATTTTGCATTGATAATAAGGGACAACACTAGGCATCCGAGCAGTCAGTTTATTCAAACATTGACTTGATATATTACTCCAAGCCTCCTGGAGGATTGCCCA